CCCCTTCTCCCCACCCGACCACCACCGTCACCATCATAACTGTTTCATTATAGATTTGATTCTGAGCCCAGTCGACACAGCCCGACCCACTTTTTTCTCTAAACAGCCGTCAGGGGGGGGTATTTCTCACGTAATACCTCAGTTTCACATGTGATTTCATGGGGCTAAAGCGAGTACGACCCTCCCACAATCTGAACCAAATACGACCCCCTCGTTGGTACTTGTAGCAACGTAGGGTTGACCCTGTCTCCAGGGCAGCAATCCAAAAATAGAGAAGCGTCACATCCTGAACTTATAATCTTGTGTTTTGGTCGTAATTCAGCATTCTGATGACAACTTTCGCAACCGAGCGCGGCGTTAAACAGCAGCTATCCAACAAAAGCAAATCTAAGACCTTTACTACATTCTACCTCTTGAACAACGACCCTTCGAATAAATATAGTAATGTGCTTTATGCAACAACCTTTGTGTCTTGGAGCGACCAATCAAGGGTAGAGATTTGGTTAGCCTAGGCAATGTACAGAATGATCCCAAAGGTTGGTTGGTTTCCTTTCTAAAACTGCAGTGGTTGGTTCCCTTTCTAAAACTTGTTTATGACTGTGGACATCGAAGTCTTCCATGGTGCGTGCAAAGTTCCATGAAGACTTCTTCAGCTCTTACGGTACCAGTTCCTAATTTCCGGTGTATAAGCCCGCGCCGATTTCACGTAAAACCACCCCCGCTCGTGCAGTGTAACTTTGTACACCTTAGAAACCACCGCAAATTTGCCTATAGAGGTAAGTCGATGCCCTGATCACGAAAATGACTTTCATTTTCAGCGCTGGCGCCATCTGGCGCCAGTTGGCGCCACCTTGTCACGACCCTTGTTTTCGTCAAAATCGGTGTAAACTTCAGTATAGGGGTTATTTGGGACCCTGATTACGAATATGACATTCATTATAGGCGCTGGCGCTGTTTGACGCCTATTTTCTGCTCGTCTGCGCTCTCCAACCGAGACATGTGCACTAAACAACGTTAACGCCAAAAACGAATGTCATATTCGTAATCAGGGTCCCAAATAACCCCTATACTGAAGTTTACACCGATTTTGGCGAAAACAAGGGTCGTGACAAGGTGGCGCCAACTGGCGCCAGATGCCGCCACCGCTAAAAACGAATGTCGTTTTCGTGATCATCAGCATATCGAATTACCCCTATGGGCATGTTACGGTTGACTCTAGATGTACTCAAGTACACTGCACCAGTGGAGGTGTTTTTACATGATACTAGCGGGGGCTTATACACCGGAAAATAGGGTAACCGTTTTCAGTTAAGCGCTTCAATGAAGACAACCATGCATTGAATACGTTGTTTTTCACCAAAGAAATTTCACAGCAAGAAAAAGTCCATGCGTAGTTGTGGTATGTCTACAAGTCGGAGATCCTCTCTTACCATCGAGTGACGCTGTGGGTCGCGGAGCTCCGGTGAGGTAGAAAGTTAGTAGGCGAAATAGCCGACTTGTGAATTGACCATGGGGAAGAACATTCACAGCCCTTACAAAATCGTTACGACGACACCAAGGAAACATTTAACGAAGTAATGTAGAATTTGAAAACTATGTGAACTTTCCAAGATTCACAGCACAGAATTGTAATTCCATAGGCACCTTAGATTTTGACTTGCGCATGGCTTTGTTCCCACACTAGGCAATGACACGCTTTGGTCTTTGAAACTGGTTGTCCTAGCATGTCAAATGCTCAGTAGGAACGAGTTTTATTTTCCAAGTCCTCCATTTGGGATGTGGGATTTTATATAAATCATACCAGCCTATGATATGACAGCTTGTAATTGCTTATTCATGGGCTTCACGGTCTGTAGTAGCGGCTTGGTGTAACGAGGCCACAAAACCATACGAGCTGAGTGCCTTTGACTTTGAGCATATAGAGTTGTTTTCTAACTGGTTGGAAGAACTCACTGAAAGAACTATTTCCATGTGGTGAATGGCTTGAAGTCGTTAAAAACGCTATCGGGTAATCGTGAAGTTTCGTTGATTCTGGCGATCCGTTTGAGAAGTATGCGTGTACCACTACTTTGAGATCCCCTGTAATAAAAGCGGTTTGGTCCGAATCCATGTCGCTGCCGCTCAGCTCCTGTTCGAACGAAAATTGTAAACTGAGAATCATAGATGAGGTGTTCGTAGATGGTGTTGTTTACATTGTACAGTGCTGGTAATCGGTCTGAACCGACTAAAAAGCTCGAATGAGATGAAACTTTCTGCGGAGGTGTCTGCAAAGCCGCTGTCCCTGGCTGTGACATACTGTAATGAGCTCCTTCTGAATTAAAAACTGTGATATTGTCGGAAATTTTCCATTTTTTGTGTTTTTCTTTTATATATTTGATAGTGCTTTGTGCCCTGTAAATTCATTTATTCGTCGTGAATCAGTTCCAAGCGCTTGATAAGGAGACCTCCAGATATAACCTCACTGAGAAGCCTATAATTACTGTAGTTACCCAAAAACAGTTGTTCCAAGATTGGACATGATCTGTGGCGGGTCAGAAGCTGAATTGTTAGGGGTAGGGAATACCTAACATCCGAAAATTCAGTTTCTGATTCCATGCGTATGCTTCGTGCCCGTCTAGGAGTGGCGTTATCCCTAGCGCTATCCGCCCATTGACTTCTAAATATTGACTGACGAATACTGAACACATTTCTGTTCGAGACAACTTCAATTGGGCCTACAGGAATCTCCTAATTTGCATTTATCGACATCTCTGCTTTTCAAATTTAGTCCTGGAGAATCATCTCTTTATCTCGCCTGCTGCCTAGCTGGTTCACTTACAATGTT